GATAGAGGATAGAGGATAGAGGATAGAGGATAGAGGATAGAGGATAGAGGATAGATGATAGAGGATAGATGATAGAGGATAGAGGATAGAGTACAGACGTTAGAAGATAGACGATAGACGATATACGATATACGATAGGCGATAGATGACTAAAGACTGGTTAATAATAAATAGAGGGAATAGAAAATAGAGAATAGAATATAGAGAAAAGGCAACAGAAAATTGAAAATAAGTAAAAGAGAATACATACAGAATAAAGAATAAAAAACACAGAATGGATGAAGGTGAATAGAGAGTAGAGAATTGAAGATAGAGAAAAATGAATAGAAAATAGAGAGTAGTAGAGAGCTGCATATAAGATGATGGAAAATATCCCATGCAGCAGGAGGGATTCCTTGCTTTCTCACATAATTTACTAATCCCGACTGAAGCAACTCAATTTCTAACTAAATATTCGACTCTTTAAAACCCATTTCGATTGTCTTTGAAGTAAAATTATTGTGAAACGAAAGCGATTAATATAATCAAGTTGAATTTGTAATAAATTAAATAATAAATGCATGATTAAATTTCAATTAACTGTGCATAATTTGATTTCACTTTTCGCATTAATAAATCATTCTCTCTCTCCCCCTCTCTCTCTTACACTCTCAACAGGAATACAATACAAAGACTGCCTCATGCCACGCCATCCACTACTACCAGCCACATTCGCATTCGCATTCGCATCAACATCAGCATCAGCGTATCAACAACAATTGCAGCAATTGCTGCAGCAACAGCAACGGCAGCAGCAACTGTTGCTGCAACAGCTCCATCGCCAGCCACAAGAAACTGCAGCAACAACAACAGCAGCAGCAGCAGCAACAACAACAGCAGCAGCAGCAGAAGCCGAAACATCGATACGGTCACACTGGCCGCAGTCGCTACAGCTACAAATACGATGCCGTCGAGGAGTGCTGCCGTCCGATCTTCCACGAGCAATACGGCTCCTTCGCGGACATGTTGTGAGTGGGCATCAGGAGGTGCGCGGCAAGGCGGAACACACGGTACCTACAGCAGACAAACTACAAAGTGTTATACTATACGGAGGAGCGCGAGCAGGAGGAGGGACGCGGAATGGAGAGAATGGAGAGGGAGCAGGAGCTGGAGTTGGAGCTGGAGCAGGAGACGGATACAGATACGGATTGAGCAGTTGAAGATGTTGAATGTTAGCTGGTTATATAGGTAGTTTCTTCATTTACACACACACACACACAGGCAGTATACCTAAAAGAGAAACAAAAAAATATAAAGATGTAGTGAATTTTTTTATAGATATTGAGTGTGTTTATCTAAAGACAAAAAAAAAAACGAAAAGAAAAGAAAAGAAAAAGTAAAGAGCAAACGATTAGCGATAAACGATTAAAAATTCGAGTGTTAAAATATATATATATATATAAATACATATGCTATATATGTATACACAAAACTATATGGATGTATACCTTCTCGAGAGCACACACAGAACATAATGTTAAAATGCAAATATATATATTTAAAATATATGTATTATCCATTGATATCCGGCTATAAATGGCACGCGCTATAAATGTTAGGCATATATATATACATACATATATATATATGTCGATATATACATACATATATATGTGTCTATATCGAAATATAGAGTTTACACACATACTATTTATTCATGTACATATAATAAATTGATATCCATACCATATATATATATATATATATATGAAACTATGTGAAAGGCATATGAAGTTTTTTTTTTTTTATTGGAAATTCCGTCTAGAATTAGCATTGAGAATTGTTGTTGTTCTATATATATACATATATGCATACATATACATACATATGCATACATATATATGTATACACATATATACATATATATATATATAAACTTTTTTTTTTTTGGTATAATAGACTAGATCTAGGATCTGGCCTGGCCTGGCCCAGAAATTGTCTTAACTAAGCGCATTTATTTAAAAAATAAACGAAAATTGAAATCGAAATAAAAAAAATATATATATACACACATATATGCATAAATTTGTAAACTTAAATATATATATATATACACACATATATATATAACTAACAATATATATTTTTTTTTTTATTTATAATATTGCAAATGCTTGTATATAGAGTTAAACAGATATTTGATGGCAACATTTTAATAATAAAATAAATATACATTAATAAATAAAAATAAAAAACAAACATATATTTTTTTTTTTCAAATACTCTTATTATTATTATATGCATAGATAACTCTTAGTACGATCTAAGCTCTGAGTGTTAAACAAATGTAAATAAATGAAATCGATTTGAATTGAATTGACGCACAGCCAACTGAGGAGAAGGAAGAAGCGACGACTCATTAAAAAATATATATATATAAAATAAAAAAATAAAAGAAAAACAAAGTAAGATAATACAATTTACACTCGTCGACTTAATTATTACAAAAAGAAAATTACATAAAAAAATGTGTCTTAAAAAACAAAAGAAAAACAAAGTAAAATGCATGCACATACATACATACAACTCGCATATATGTATTTGTGTATGTGTATATGTGTATTATCGATGGTTAGCATATTGTATGTATTCCAGAACTAAATAGAGAGCACGCTCTAAAGCTGTCCTTATTGTATTTCTAAGCAGCATTCCCTAAATGTGGTGTCAACTCGAACTCGAACTCGAACTCGAATTCGAATTAGAACTCGAACTAAGTAAAAAACAAATTCAATGTCAAGTTAAAAACGTAAAAACATAAGCGAAAAAGAAAACAGAACAGAATACATTTAAATTGGGCAATTGTGAATGTGTGAAGAGAGCAGGGAGAGCAAAAGGGAAAGCATAGAGCGAGAGAGAGAGGGAGAGAGAAAGCATCTCTTGCAGAGCCACTTGACCACAGCATGGACTACCATGGAGTGGGACATAGTTCAAAAAGCATTGCATACTTTTTGGCACCCGCTCCAATTCACACACACACGCACGCACACTGCCACACACACACACACTCGAATATATCAAATTTTAAATTCTCAACTGCACTTTGCAGAATTTTAAATGTCTAAAATAAACGTAAAGAGCAAAATAACAAAACAAAATAAATAAATAAATGAAAGAAAAACAAAAAATAAAATAACAAAAATAATGAAATGCATAAAAATATTGGATTTAAAATAAATAATAAAAACAAAAAAATTAAAATTACAGCGTAACTATTCAAATACCAGAAACTTTTAACAAACAAATGAAGAAAACAAAAAATTTAGCACAAAAACAAACACAAGTTTAACAAAGATGAAGAAGAAGCAGAAGCAGAAAAAAAACGAAAATATGAATTGATTCAAGCCGAAGTTTTTTTGAACTCGTTTAATGCTAAATGCTATAAAAAATATATAGTTGTAATTAATAGTTCTCTTAACTTTAGTTCTCATGCTACTTTTCTTTATATATACTATATGTAAAGAAAGATATATAAACATATATTTTGTTTGTTTTTATTTTTTTTTTTTCTTAAAAGAAAGCTTAAAATGTGATATTTTATAAAACTATAAACCACAAGAGAGCGCAGAGTAAACAGCTAAGCAAGCAAAAGAGAAACCGTCTAAGCACACAAAAACATACACACACACACACATACCTGTGTACACTTGACAAAAGAAAAAACTTGGCATTATTCAAGAAAGAAAGAGAAACGTTTTGCACTTTATTGTCATTAAATTATGATTATTATTGTATAATTTAAGCGAACTGTAAGTAACGTTATATTCATTATTGATGAGACACAAATAAAAATAAATTTAAATAACAAAACAAATGCAAGTTTTTATGCCCTTAAATTCGTCACAACTTTTGGCAAGGATCTGTTGCTGCTGTTACGGTTACAGCGCCTTAGCAGCGCGTCGGCTGTTAACAACACGTTCCACACAGCGCGCAACGAGCGTGTGGAACGCAACATGTTGGCACGCTGCGGCCGCCGACAAACATGTTGTGCTGCATACCACTTAGCGGCGCGAGGTTTTACAGGTGGGTGCTCAAAAAACTGCAGCATACTTTTAGGCGGCGCCATCAATTGCGACTGCTTTAAGGCGCCGCCACATACAAATCAAAATCGAAATAAAATTAAATTTCAAAAATTTATACAAATCAAAATTTGGAAAATTTTCTAGAATGTTGGTCGATGCTGCTCATGTGAGACGCGGCGTGCATAAGCTGGATTTGTATCTGTTGGATTTTAGCAATTAAATTGTTTTAGACTAAATCGCATCAATTTATCGCTCGAACGGCTCAGCAGCAGCTGCAGCCCCGGAGCAACTGGCTGGAAAATCCGCTTGACTCAACTCAAGAATAGCTACGTTGTATCTATGCAATAAAAAGTTCAACTCTTTCATTGTTATGATGCGATTTGCGTTGCGTTTGCCTAACCCAAAATTTAGACGCTTTAAATATGAATATCTCTATATAGATATGCATACATGTGTATGTATGTATATATGCATGTTATATATATATATATATATATGTATGTATTCAGTTTCAGCTCGAGCGATAATCAGCTTTGGCTTTAATGCTGCAGCCATAAAAATATAAAATTCATTTTTGCCATTGAAATTTACTTTAAAGCTCTTTTGACTTTTTATGCTTCGAGCGTATTTGAGTGTGTGTGTGTGTGTGCGTGTGTGTGTGTGTGCGAGTTTGTTATTTGGGTGTTGGATGCGCTGCGGGCTCGTTGTTTGTATCTGTAAAGCAATTAATAATAATTGGCCCTAAAAACCCCTTTTCACTCTCTGTCAAATGTGTGTGTGTGTGCGTGTGTGTATGTGTGTGCGTGTGTGTGTGTGTGTGTGTGTGTGTGCGAGGGTGTGCTTAACAACAACTACATCAGCTACAACAAACAAGCAGTCCGTTAAGGGACGCCTGGACTGGTGAGGGAAGTTGGCGCAGCGACGGCTATTTGCAAATATTTACAACATCCGCTGCCCGGGCTATATAAACAAGCAAGCACACACGCACACACACACACTGACACACACACATGTGACTTCTCTGCGCGCTTTGGCAAATAAAAGTTCTGAAATGCGATTATCTTGATGAATTGGAATTTGAATTTTAATTCTCTGCTGCTGACCAACACACACACACATACACACACACACACGCACACACAGCTATACAGATCTAGATATATGTAGATACACCCACACAGCAATTGCCATCAGCAATGACACCTCCACTCGAAACCCGACCCGACCTCAGCCAGCCCCGCGCGGCAATTGGCCAAACATGTTGTTCATCAAAAAGTTCTCGCATTTGGCATTTACATTTGGGCAGCGAAACAGCGAAACTGGGGAAACAGCGCAACAGAGTTTAACGGCAAATCGCTAGACGGATACGTGTTCGTTTTGCGGCCGGACTCGCAACGAAATCTGAATTCGAATCTGAATGCCGAATGCTGAATTTCCATCTGTATTTGAAACTGAAACCAAATCGCTGGAACCGTAGCCGTTGCCGTAGCCGTAGCCGTAGCCGTAGCTGGAGTACGCCTCATAGACAGAGCCGGAGTCAAGTGGCTCGCTGGGGCCATTCATACCTGTTGTAATTGCAGTGCTATCTGAATATGTGACCATACACACCAATCCCCCCACTCGCCACGCCCCCTCCCCCTCCCACCAGTGGCTGCATCTGTGTCACAGGCAATTCTCAAAAGCATAAAAGTCAAATTTGTCGCATGGCCCACGGAGACGGCGTCCGCCAGTTTTTGCATTTCCCCAAGCAGCCGCGGGCCGAATGTGAGCCCGACAGGAAAAGGGGAAGGGGAGGGGGAAGGGGATGGGTGTGAGTCAGGTGCGGGCGAGCCAGGTAATTGGCTTTGCCATATTCATATCTCGAGCATACGCTTGTCATTTAGATACGCATCCACTTAGCCCCAATCCCCAAATCCAAACAACAACCTGAAACCGGGAGCAATACAAAATAAGGGGGTAATCGCCCAGCCAGAGAGAGAGAGAGAGAGAGAGAGAGCGATGCAGAGGGAGGGAGAGTGGCTGAGAGGGACACAAATAGCATTTACGCACAGGCGCCCCCATTGTGGTGGGCAGCGCCAAGGATACAGTTGCTCCAGCTGTTGCTGACCTAATGAACCCCTCAGCCGACTCAATTGCCTGAGCCAACTGAGTTGGCTGCACTCGCTCCACACGCTGCACGCACCTGGGCAGAGGCAACGT